GTATAAATCCACCTCTTCTCCCCCAGCTATGGGTTAATTAGTAATAATTTTATCAGTAAACCATTATCAGCCCAAAAAAGTATTCCTACAAACTAACTATATTTCCTGGCTTTAAATAACCTGCAAAGTGTTGATAAACCGTAAAGAAACACCCCGAACAAAAAAAAAAAAAAAAAAAAAAAAATAAATAAATAGATAAAAAAAATGAACTTTTATAAATTTACGGATTATACAAAACAACTAATTCGGAAAAATAGTTAATAAAATATTGGATAGACAAACCTTGTATGGAGTATTGCTGCCATATATGGTCTGGAGCCCCTTCTGTTTGCCTCGGGGTTTTTATAGGCGGATATGCAATATAATTGGCCCTGCTCTGGCATCTCGTCTACACTCACTTTCTCACGGACGCGCCGTCGCCTCTCTCTGTCTGTTTTACTAATACTTTCATGGCGATTGCTCCGAGGAGCTGCATTCGCTGGTTCCCAGATTTCGTGAGTTCAAGCGCCTTACGAGGCTGGCATCCCACTCTCACCCTTTCACTGTCGAAACTCCTAAATGTAGCTGTCTCTTCTGCTCCAATAGCTTCATGTCTCGCACCTCTCGCCTGTGGAACTCCTTTCCCTATTCCAGTTTTCCCTGAGAGCTATAATCTCCAGCTATTCAAATGTAATGTCAATCGACATCTCCAGTTGCCCTGATCTATGCACTATCCTTCTCCTCATCCTTTCTTCTATCACTCCTATCTTATCTTGCTCCAAAGTTTCTGTAACCCCTTGCGTCCTAGTGGCTTCCCGCCTTGCTTGGGGTGAAACGGTTAAAAAAAAAGAATTGTTACGATTCAACGAAACATATTTGAAAACATTGCATATATTATTTTAATTAATAAAAGCCATGTCTTTATTATTGGCCAGTTAAACTTGCCAATAGTTTCCGTTTTTTATATTTTGACAGTTGTTGTTTCGTCGAATACAAACAGAATATTCGACATCTGATACGAAATCCTCTGCATGGCCGTTTGGTAGAAGAAAAACAAAATATATTGGCACCCGTCATGAAGTATCGTATTGTATGTATCTTAGAAGAGAACTTTTTTCAGGAAAAGTGTCGTATATTTGACCAGACCAACCCAGAAGTCAAGACAGAGACGAAGTATGAAAAGGACGCGAAGCCGTAGGTACGCTTATCATTCACATATTTTCTAGCTGTTTACCCAAGTAGCAGTTCGTTTGTGGAGTTGTGGAAGGTAGAGGAAGGGTTGGTATTCAAGTTTAATATGCCGTATAACTCTAAACCAAGTGTTAAATTCTTTAAAACATTGCAGGAATAACCTTTAACGTTTTATCTTTTGTTTGAAACATAAATTACGTCTTGAAATAGTGACACCATCTTCACCTTTGAAGACATCACAAATTGTACAGAATATTTTAGCCTAAAACTTTATATTTACTTGTATTTTTTTCGCTAAGGGGCTTCTTATTGAAAGAGACTTTAGCAAACACCTATATCAAAAATCATATATCCCAGTTTGTGTTTATGCAATTTTTCTGATTGCAGCCTAATTACAAAATCTGAAAATTCAAAAACTTATAGTCAAATGGTACTTGTATGATTTTAGTTATAATTTGTATCTTAGGCGTCTTTCATGGCAGTTCACTTTAATTCATATATTTGGAGTTTCCAATCAGTTACTCAACCAGAAAAATAGCAGTAAAAATTGAAAGCTGTGAGTATTCCAAAAAGCCCTCTCCTTGGGATAGTTCTAATAGACGATTAGTTTATTACCATAAATGAGTGCTCTGTACATTCAAACTTAACAATCATGATGTAAACGTCGTCTAATTATCCTATATAATACTTTCACACTATTTATATTGTTCGAACTGTTCTCCTCATCATTGCCATATTGACGACGTTTCGGCCATTGTAACTTCCGGCCTTTTTCAGGTGTTTAGAATTTGGAACAGAACCCTTTATTTCGTCCATCGGGGTAGGTTATTCGAGTTCCACGTGCCATGCTTCTTCCGGATGTCTCAGCTTCCGTTATTTCCCTCTCAACTCTCCAAGTTTTTGTTAATCTTTGCTCTGGTCAGGTATTGAACTCACAACATTTTGAGACAAGTCACTGGATTACTTCAACGAACGCTTTTATCCACTGGACCATGTTGAAGAAGGCAGGAGCGTAGAGCGGCCGAAACTTAGTGAATATGAAAACAAAGATGAGGACAACAGTCCGACCAACGTACCTAGTGGAAATAGTTAAAATATTACATCTTAGAAATAGGAAGACAACAGTCTAAACAATGTAAATATTGTAAATAGTTACAATACCTCATCTCAGAAATATAGACGGATGTTGAAGGTGAATATGGCAATAAATATGAGGACAGCAGTCCAAACAATGTAAATAGTGTAAATAGTTACATATTCATCTCATCTCAGATTTTTGAAGGTGAATATCGAATAAAGATGTTGTAAATAGTGTGAAAATAGTTACATACGTCATCTCAAAATATAGACAGATGTTGTAGGTGAATAGGGCAATAAATATGAGGACTACAGTCCGAACAATGTAAATAGCGTAAATAGTTACAATACCTCATCTCAGAAATAGAGACAGATGCTGAAAGTGAATATGGCAAGAAAGATGAGGACAACAGTCTAAACAATGTAAATAGTTACAATACCTCATCTCAGAAATAGAGACAGATGTTGAAGGTGAATATGGCAAGAAAGATGAGGACAACAGTCTAAACAATGTAAATAGTGTAAATAGTTACAATACCTCATTTCAGAAATAGAGACAGATGTTGAAGGTGAATATGGCAAGAAAGATGAGGACAACAGTCTAAACAATGTAAATAGTTAAATAGTTACCTCATCTCAGAAATAGAGACAGATGTTGAAGGTGAATATGGCAAGAAAGATGAGGACAACAGTCTAAACAATGTAAATAGTGTAAATAGTTACAATACCTCATCTCAGAATTAGAGACAGATGTTGAAGGTGAATATGGCAAGAAAGATGAGGACAACAGTCTAAACAATTTAAATAGTGTAAATAGTTACAATAGTCTCAGAAATAAATGTTGAAGGTGAATAAAGAAAGATGAGGGACAACAGTCTAAACAATGTAAATAGTTAGTTACAATACCTCATCTCAGAATTAGAGACAGATGTTGAAAAGTGAATATGATAAGAAAGATGAGGACAACAGTCTAAACAATTTAAATAGTGTAAATAGTTACAATACCGCATCTCAGAAATAGAGACAGATGTTGAAGGTGAATATGGCAAGAAAGATGAGGACAAATAGTCTAAACAATGTAAATAGTGTAAATAGTTAAATACCTCATCTCAGAAATAGAGACAGATGTTGAAGGTGAATATGGCAAGAAAGATGAGGACAAATAAACAATTTAAATAGTGTAAAAATAGTTACAATACCTCATCTCAGAAATAGAGACAGATGTTGAAGGTGAATATGGCAAGAAAGATGAGGACAACAGTCTAAACAATTTAAATAGTGTAAATAGTTACAATACCTCATCTCAGAAATAGAGACAGATGTTGAAGGTGAATATGGCAAGAAAGATGAGGGACAACAGTCTAAACAATGTAAATAGTGTAAATAGTTACAATACCTCATCTCAGAAATAGAGACAGATGTTGAAGGTGAATATGGCAAGAAAGATGAGGACAACAGTCTAAACAATTTAAATAGTGTAAATAGTTACAATACCTCATCTCAGAAATAGAGACAGATGTTGAAGGTGAATATGGCAAGAAAGATGAGGACAACAGTCTAAACAATTTAAATAGTGTAAATAGTTACAATACCGCATCTCAGAAATAGAGACAGATGTTGAAGGTGAATATGGCAAGAAAGATGAGGACAACAGTCTAAACAATTTAAATAGTGTAAATAGTTACAATACCGCATCTCAGAAATAGAGACAGATGTTGAAGGTGAATATGGCAAGAAAGATGAGGACAACAGTCTAAACAATGTAAATAGTGTAAATAGTTACAATACCTCATCTCAGAAATAGAGACAGATGTTGAAGGTGAATATGGCAAGAAAGATGAGGACAACAGTCTAAACAATGTAAATAGTGTAAATAGTTACAATACCTCATCTCAGAAATAGAGACAGATGCTGAAAGTGAATATGACAAGAAAGATGAGGACAACAGTCTAAACAATGTAAATAGTGTAAATAGTTACAATACCTCATTTCAGAAATAGAGACATATATAACACTTTTCGATGAGTAGTGTTTTCCTGAACATAGTTAATCAAATTGTTTTGCACTTGTTACTGAGAACATTTTTTTTTTTACTGCCACTAAGTGGAGCTTTTAAAACCATCATCTTTTGTTGGTTTTATTTAAGACAATTGTAGGTGTTCCCTTTCCTGGAAAGACCAGTTTATTAAGTTTTGCCTCCTCAAAATATATTGGGCAATCATCGACAAGACAAAAAAATAAAAAAAACAAACAAACAACGGCTGAAATCTCTCATCTTTGAAGTGCGGTAGATTAGCACAGCATATTCAGAAGGTTGACGATTGAAATTAGTGACGAACTATTTTAATTACTGACGTTTTAGAAGTTGACTTGTCGGTCGGTCAATTTAAATAAAAGTTCAGTTATATTAATCACCACGTGCCGAAATCCAGTTAACATAAATTAAAATAATTAGACTTTAATTTAATGTCCGTTGATTAAATCTTTGGTTCCTAAATTGGGTTTCACTTTCAAATTCAATTAACATTAGAATTAGAACCTAATCATAATAATAAACGTTCGCGGCAAAATGTTAAGTTTCAAATCATACAAAAAATGGCATTTCTCTTCAAGGATTTTTCGGTTATGGCTCTTCATAGATTCGTTGCTTTCTTTATTAACTGGGAATTGTCATTTATTTTTTAGAAATTGAGTGGTTTGTCGTTGTCTTTTGCGGTTTTGAATTAATTCTGATTCCTTTTTCTTTTAGACAGGCTATCATTGGAGGCTTAATCTCTCTCTCTCTCTCTCTCTCTCTCTCTCTATCTATCTATCTATAAAATTCTCTTTATTTATCTATCTATCTATCTATGTATTTATCTAATTCTCTTTATTATCTATCTATCTATCTATCTATATATCAACCTAATTCTCTTTATTTATCTATGTATGTATGTATGTATGTATGTATCTATCTATCTAATTCTATTTATCTATCTATCTATCTATCTAATTGTTTTTATCTATCTATCTATCTATCTATCTATCTATCTATCTATCTAATTCCCTTTATTTATCTATGTATGTATGTATGTATGTATGCATCTATCTATCTATCTAATTCTCTTTATCTATCTATCTATCTATCTAATTGTTTTTATCTAATTGTTTTTATCTATCTATCTATCTATCTATCTATCTATCTATCTATCTATCTAATTCTCTTTATTTCTCTTTCTCTCTAATTCTCTTTATCTATCTATCTATCTATCTATCTATCTATCTATCTATCTATCTATCTAATTTTCTTTATCTATCTAATTCTTTTTATCTATCTACAAAATTTGCTGAGCATGTTATTCTTTTATAAAATTGTTTGAAGGCAATGCGAAATCAAATGCGGAGAGGAGGAAAATGAACGGATTTGAACTAGGCTTGCTGATATAATTTTCCGCCAAGCTAACATTTAAGCAAACAGGAAATGCTTCAATTGATTGCGCACGACGTACGTGTCCCGTAACCTAATAGGGACATTAATTCCACAAAAGAATTGCTGCTATTACAGAAATAGGTATGTCTATAACAATTTGATCTATCGGAGACTATCGCTATTATTGCAGGATTATTTTTTTATTTAAAATCGTCATCCTAGATGTGGATCTATTACAGAACAACATTTTAAACACAGTAGTAGATCAACGACTCACATCTAACTAGACTTTAAAAATTACATAGAAAATTGCCAAAGGAAACAATTACTACGAAGAGACTAAATTGAAAGCTAGAGTTCACAGTTTGCAACGCTATGCCGCTCATAGATAGAGTGAAAGCAATATCATAACTCTGTACATGTATTTTCGCGTAACTTGACGGAAGGAAATCAGCCGGAATTCGAACCCGTTTCTCCAATTATCGCCCGAGACCATAACTATGAGAATACTTACACGTCTCTATCTATAAACGGCAGGATGTGTGTAACGAATGCACGGCCGCAATTTCCGACGGATTTGCACCAAAATTTACATGCACATGCTCCAAGTTAGCGGGAAGGCCAAGGCCGACGTTGCATTTCCCAAGTCCATCGATAGTAGAAATAATCGATTTTTTCATGTTTCTACGGCACTTTTCATGTTGTTTGCGGCCATTTTGTACTGGGCAGAGTGAGAGCCTATAGCTGGCTGCCACGAATAGGCAGGAAGATTCTATTGCCCAGCGTGAGAGCCAACAGCTGACTGACACGAATGTTAACTAGTATGCTAGAATGCAAAAAAAAATCGATAGCTGCATTCGTCACAAGTGGGAAAAATTTAAATCTGCATGGCACTTTACTCCAATTGGCTCATTCGCTTGCTTAAACTCAACGTTGATTCTGATTCCGCAGAACTGGGTTGGGTGTGAAAAAAGTATTTGATGTTAACATTCTTTTTTTCATTCGGTTTTCCAGTTACGAGTCCATTTTTAAAGCTGATCGTTTTGTGTTCATTTTGTTTAGTTCTTTTTCGTAACAGATTTAATGTTTAGTATAGAGCTTAGAAAAAATTCGCAGTGTGAGATAGGCAAGAAGTAAGGCATGTAGCAACATCAGCACGGCAAAGTGCACTCCTTTAAAGGCAAGGAAGGGCAAAATATTTTAAATCAAGTGATAGCGATTACTGTATGAGTCGTAAGATTTTTGAATCAAGCACGGGCAACTCTGGGCCATGCAGCTAGTCAGCGGATAAAATTCGCCAGTATTTACAGGTATTTATTAAGGCCGTGAGTTGAAGAAGAAAATCTTATATTATTTTTCTAAAAATCTTTTCAAATTAATTATTTTATTGCACTCTTACTTTTATTCTAAAATCGTCGGTATCATCCTGAATATTTTTGTCGAATAAACTGATTATGATTGTTCTAGCTGTAAATTATGCACGGTGACTGTGGCTTTTATGCCTGAAAAGAACTTCCGGTAGATTGAAGATCGCTTTAGAGTGACTGTCATCAGACAATTTTGGGAGGCATCAATAAATCTCAATATAGGATCATACGAGTATTGTAGGGATCTATTGCAGAACAACACTTTAAACACACTAGGAATTCAAACGAAGTACATCTGGACACTCTTTCAATTAACGATATATATATATATATATATATATATATATATATATATATATATATATATATCTAGTAAATTGCCGATACCCCATGAATGAAGGACGGACAGATCCGCCCAGAAACTCTGGAGTCAGGATGATGAAGGTAACATCAATCAGTTCAGTGACAAACTTTTACTTATATTAATATTCTCCCTCTCTCTCTTTCTCTCTCTCTCTCCATATATATATATATATACATATATATATATATATGTGTGTGTGTGTATCCATATAAAATGAGAAGAAATGGAGTATAACTCTACTGTCCGTAACATTTAATTCAAAAGTAAGGCCAATATAGAGTAAAGCTAAATATTAATCGTTCGCTCGCCAACAGCTTACCATCTCCCATGGAAACACATTATTAGTGTTGAAACATAATTGCCATCATGTAGCGATTTTAACGATTTTGTTTAATATCCTAAGGCAAACAAAATTACACACGCGCGCACACACACACACACACACACACACACACACATATATATATATATATATATATATATATATATATATATATATATATATATATTATATATCAAACCTAGTGAGCCAGACAAACCTACCCAGTTTTCACCTAAGCGGATCGTTTTTTTAAAATGTTTTTTCCATCGAGATTGATTTGATAATTGGCAAATCAAAAATTCGAACCTTTTTTTCGAGACGAGTATAGTTACCTATATATATATATATATATATATATATATATATATATATATATATATATATATATATATATATATATATACAGTCATATCATGGTGAAATTGCCAAAAAACATATAAATATTACAAATATTATTCTCACTAGAAAATAAATGGTGTTTTTCTCTTGTCAAAGCCAAAACTAGCATTAATGTCTCTGCTTATATGGCGTTTATTTTTTGAAACATCAGAAAGGCGTTAATCAAGGACGACATTGACGTTGAATTATTCGTTCAACTAATCATTAGGATATTTTCAAATTGTTTGATATTTGATGTAAATCAGTTAAGACAGCTGACGTCCGTCTTCGAATAAAATAACACCTATTTCCGACGTATATTACAAAACTAAAACACTTTAAGGACTTTTTAACATTAGACGAGTAAAGACTATGGGCTTTCGGCCAAATGCAATCAACTGATGCGTTTGTCTACAGAGAATAAAGCTCATGTGAAAAACACTAATATATCTAGCTAAAATATTTACATTTTAAAAAGGTTATGCTTATTGCTATAACATTTTGGATGAGATATTAATTCACAAGGCAAAACATTGTGAGGAGTTGACATTTCTTTTATAATGATAATAAGAATTCAAAAAGAGAGAACAGCCACCGCTATGTTAAAATATTCTTCACAATTCTCAGGTGAGATACTATCATCTTGGTTGACAAGCGCTTGGAGAGAAATCTTTCTGGCATCACAGTTGTACACAAGAACAGCCATGAATGGATTCTGATAGACGTTGCCCTTCCTTGGCATAAGAACATCTTGAAGACGTAACAGTCTGAAATACATAGGTACCAAAACATTACTAGAGAAACCCCAAGAAATAAATGATGCAGCTGCTAAACTGCTCTCATTTAACCAGTTAGAGTAAATCTCCTGCCATGGCTAATGCTAGCATCATGGAGAGCAACACATTGCGCCTTCTTGGCCTCACTTTTTCAACTGACTTCAAGTAGGACGACTACATCGTATCACTTGCTGCATCTACTACAAGGAAATTTGGCTCATCGTTTGTACCAGAATTTTTTTTCGTCAGAGTCCATAAGGCACATTTTAAAATTTACTATGTTAGATATTTTATGACGGTCGTCTTCGAGTATAGAATCCAGAGGTTAGCAGTGAATATTTCGGAGTCAGTAGGAAAGCGTAGTTCAGGTTAGCAGTGGATATCGCAGCAAAGTAGCAGAGCGTAGTACTTCCTTCTGTTTCTCTCCGCCTGACAAGTTGGCACTGGTCATTCGGGTAAGGTAAACAAAAATGGCCGCCTTTATACACGACGGATAGAATGTTCTGCGTCTTCTGATTGGTTAACCTTCTATTGGTAAACTATAAAGCGAGTGAAGGCATTTGGACTAACTCACAAGTTATAATATATAAATACATATACACAAAAAACTGTAACATACTATTCGTCAGTGCATTGAATACTGTTGACATATCTGGTCTGGTGCTCCTGTTATTCAAAAAAGGATCTGCAATGTAATCGATCCTAATTTGGCATCTCGACATAACTCACTTTCTCCCCGACTTGATATGGCTTCCCTTTGCCTTTTTTACAAATATTTTCATGGCAACGGCTCTGATGACCTTTTTTTGCTATGGTGTCCCGACTACATGAATTTAAGGCCTCATTCTTTACTGTTGTAATAGTTAAATCTAACCAACACTTCAATTACAACAGTTTATTTTCTCGAACTTCTCACCTGTTGAACTTCATTCCGTTTACTTGCTTCCTTGATAAATACAATCTTCAAAAAATTAAATGCAATGTCAATCGCTATATTCTGTCTTCTTGAATAGCTTAATCTTTTCTCTTTTCCTCTATCCCCATGTATCTAGGATCTTCTCTTAATTTCACTCGTTGTAGCCCCCTACCCCTGTATGCTAGTGGCAGTCCTGTCTTTGATTGAGGTGAAATGATTGAAGAATAAGAAAAGAAAAAATGAAATAAAATTCATCGATTTTGTCGTTGGTACTCTCGGTCTTATTTCCATGAATCTTTCTGTCTTGGGGATATACGACATCATTGGGAGT